CCACCTCTCACTTTAGTATTCTTAGCTGAAAAAAATGGGGATGGGGAAGAAGGCACCTTGAAAATATTTGAATCCTCATTTGGATAGTTGATTTTGAATTTTGAATCTTCTTGAGGTTTGATTCAACCTCATTTTCTCTATCTGTAATCTGAGGACACAAAGGCCACATCCTCACCCATTCTCCACCTCACAAGGAGATTCCAAAACCCCAACTAATAATTATAGCTCCCAGTTCTATGAATTTCACATACACCATCTCATTTAGTCCATGCGACAACTAGGTGAGGTAGCAAGTAGCAATGGGGTTCACTTCCAGACTGTGGGTGATGGATCAAACCCTTGTGTTTTATGGGCGCATGAAAATGAAGAGCTAGGCGCAGAGCCAAGCTACCCTGAGGCAACTCCTGCCAGCTCCAGGCAACAGGAAGCACCACCCACAGGCTAGAGCTGAGTCAAGAATATGCGTACTGTGGAGAGCTGAGAGGCTTCTTTGAAAGTAAAAGGGAAAAACACCAGGCTCAGTACTTGGTGCAGCCAGAAAGGCCTAGGATGGCCCAGGGTATCTGTGCTGCAGCGAGGGCAGACTAGAGACCAGGCACCTCCTCCTGCTACCTGCTCTTCCTCCTTTTTGCCTTCTTCCTTTTCTCCAGTTTCCTTCTCTTCCCTCTTTTGCCTCTCTATCCCTTTTGTTCCCTTTCGATTCCTGAGGCAGCGGTGTAATGGAAAGAATGCTGCATTTGGACTCAGAAATTTAAATCCCAGTTCTGCTGCTTCCTCACCTGTGTGACTTTAAACAAGTCCCCTAAAGAATCAAAGAGTTTTAGGCTTAGATTTAGCCACCTTAATGGCTGTCTAGACCAGCCCGTGCCCAAAAGAGGATCTGCAGTGCAAAATACCTGCTGTTCAGCCTCTGCCTCTTTGCAGCTTAATACTCCATACTCCTGGTCATGCCTTCTGGAGCAAAACAGAGTAAGTCTAATGGGTCTTCAGCATGACCGTCTTTCAAATACTTGAAGACAGTGATCATGCTTCAGGCTTAGACCCAGTTCCTTCAACTAGTGGATAGAGTATTGAACCTGAAGTCAGGACGACTCAGCTTCCTGAGTTCAAATCTGGCCTCAGACACTTACCAGATATGTGACCCTGGGCAAGCCATTTCACCCTCTTTGCTTCGGTATCCTGTCTGCAAAGTGAGCGGCAGAAGGAAATAGCAAACCACTACAGTGTCTTTGCCAAGAAAACCCCAAATGGGGTCATGAAGAGTCAGACATGACTGAAAAACAGCTGAAAAACAACATCTCGGAGGTCCTTCACCTCTGGATGCCCTCTTCTGGATGCTCCCTTGCTTTTCACTGTCCTTTCTGAAATGTGTTGCCTCAAACTGAGCACAATCTTCCACATATGTTCTGACCAGGACCGAGGATAGGTGGGACTTTCACCTCCTTATTCCTGAAAGCTTGACCCTTTTTAACGTAGTCTTAGATTGTGTTAGCTTTTTTGCTGCCCTACCGAACTGTTGACTTATACTGAGCCTTCAGTTCACTAAAATCACCAGATCTTTTTCAGACAGTATTGCTAACTATGTCTTCCCTACCTTGTACTGGTGAAGTCATTTTTTTAACTCCAAGTATAAAACCTAGCCATTTATCCTTATTGAATTTCATCTTATTAGATTTGGCTCCATGTTATACCCTTTCAAGATGTCTGAATCTATCCCTTCCTGATTTGTGTCATTTGCAGATTCAACCAGGATGCCATCTATACCATCTCTGTATGGTCATTGATAAAAATATTACAGAACACAGGGTCCAGAACAGATCCCTAGGGCATTCCACTGGAGACTTCCTGCTTATTTGACATGAGTTCAGCCAGTCAGTCAGTTTTGAATTGTACTACCATCTAGCCTCCATCTTTCCCATAAGATTAACGTGAGAGATTATCAAATGCTTTACTAAAATCTCTGATCTCTAGTAGTTTAATAACCCTGCCAAGATAGGAAATCAGGTTAGCCTGACATGACCTGGTCTTTATGAAAAAGTCATGTTGAGTTGTTTTAATTGCTTCTTTTTCTAGACATTCACTAAACAGTTAAAATGTTTATAGCAGCTCTCTTTGTGGTAGCAGAGAACTGGAAATTGCAGGGATGCCCATCAACTGGGGAATGGTTGAACAAGTTGCAGTATATGATTGTGATGGAATACTGCTATAAGAAAGGAGGAGCTCGATGATTTTAGAAAAATATGGAAGCACCTGCACAAAATAATGAAGAGCAAAATGAACAGAACCAAGAAAACATCGTATACAGTAACAGCAATATTGTTTTAAGAATGACTTTGAGCAAATGAAGTTATTTTAAATGTCATAAATACCCAAATTAACTATCAAGGACATATGAAGAAAGATACTATCTGTATCTAGAGAAAGAACTGATAAATAGAAGTATGTAGAGAATAATTTTACATATATGTCTATATATACCTATTTGAGTCTAATGGAAGCTATCTCTAGGGTATAGGGGGAGAGAAGAAAAAAAAAAGGAAATATACAAGATAATTTTGCGTATCACATTGTGCATAGTAGATTTGCAGTTCACCTGCAATCATCTTTTTTTATTGTACTATGTTATGGAAATGCTTGTTTTATTCCATAAACTAGAAATAAAATTTGAAAAAAGTGAAAAAAAAGTTCTCTAATAGTATTTTCTAAAAAGTTTCTGGGAATCAAAGTAAAGCTCTTTGGCCCATACTTTAGAAATTCCATCCTTTTTTCTTTTTTGAGAACTGAAACATTTGCCCTCTTGAGGTCCTGTAGGGTCACTCCTGTTGTCCACAGTCTTTTTGATATCCCTGTTTGTAGTGTAACAGTCACATTCACCAGTATATTCAGTATCTGAGGATGCAGCTCCTCTCAGCCAAGTGGTCTAAATTCATCAAAGACACCAAGATGTTCTCTTACAATCCACTTAACTTTCCTTGGGTCATCTTGGTCTCTCTGGGCCTGTTGTAGATTCTCTAAACTATAAAATGAGTTTGGACTAGATTACCTCTAAACTACCTCCAGCCTTTCTCAGGCCCTGTGGAATATGTGGTTCTTAGGGCTAAGGAGGTTATCAAGTGCTAAAAAAAGAGTACTAAACTTTGAGTCGGGAGACCTGGGTTTGAATCACAGCTCTGATACATCAGCTACGTCCTAAGCTTGTCATATCTTTCTGAGCCTCAGTTTCCTTATAAAATAGAAGCACTAATTCTCACATTGCATAACAGCTAACATAGAAGGATTTAAGGTTTATAAAGTGCTTTGCATATGTTATCTCATTTGATGCTGACAAATGATGAGGCATGTAGTAGTATTGCCTACATTTTTACAAATGAGGAAAGTGAGTCAGAGAGAAGTTATACAACTTGCCCAGGGTCACATAGCTGTTGCCTGAGTCTGGATTTGAACTCGGGTCTTCCTGCTTCCCAGCACAGCACCCTGTCCACTCTACCACTCAGATGCTACGATCAGTGCTTTGATGGCTTGAGGGTTTGCACAGAAGCAGAAAATTCTTTTATTCTTGTTTTGCAGACCTAGATACAAGCCAAATTCTGGTGTTCCCTGGGGAAACTGGGTATGAGCCAAAGTTCTTTGGGATGGGCCCTCAAACTGTCTGTATACTCTGTTGGCCCAAACTGGAGCCCCTTCAATGCCAGCGAAAGCAGTTTATATACTTTCTCTGGGGGAACATGCTAGTGGTCATGAAGATCCCCAAGGAAAGGATATTATTAATCAATCATGGTTAATCAAAAAAGAGATTAGGGTTGTTCTTTTTGACCTTGGAGGACCCAACTAGGATCAGTTGCTTAATCTGCATTGGTAGAGAGAATTTCCACCATAGGAATCCCATAAAGTCACAAGAACTGACCCTTTCCCCCCAAAAAAATGTCAAATGGGCACTATAGAGCTGTAAAAGGACTTGGGGCACAGCGGTGACAAAATAATATTTATATAGTACCTCCCATGTGCTAGGCACTGTGCTAAGCATATTATAATTATTATCTCATTTGATTCTTCCAACGACCCTGTGTTGTTATGCCCATTTTACAGATGGGGAAACTGATGCCCAGAGGGTAAGAGTCTGAGGGAGAACTGGAATTAGGATCTTCCTGACTGCAGGCCTATACTATACACGGCACCGCCTAACTAACATGTGAAAAGCAGTATTTGAGGAAAATTGCTCTGGACTAATGTGTAGGGAGAAGCTAGAGGCTGCTTTGGGACCCAACTAAACCGTAGCTTGAGATTCATCAAGTCCATGATATGGAACCTTTCTTCTCTCTCAGCCCAGGAAGCTTAAGTGAAAGAACTGAAGTATCTTTTCTCCCCGCTCCCCTGCTTTCCCACCCCCTGAATCATTTGTCCCAGCAATAAGGCAATAGTAGCCTCTCCCCAGTATGTTTTCATGCATGTGTAGGTTTGATGGGGAGGGTGAAGGACCAAATTTGGGACACAGTATTTATTCACCCTAGGCAAGATGAATCCCCTATTGTGTTTAATAATTTGGCTGTTTGAGGCAGCTAGGTGGCACAGTGGATAGAACTCTGCCCTTGGAGTCAGGAGGACCTGAATTCAAATGCGGCCTCAGACACTTGACACCAGCTGTGTGACCCTGGGCAAGAGATTTAACCCCAATTGCCCCACCAAAAAGCAAAATAATAAAACTAATAATAATAATAATAATTTCACCCTTTGATGTTATCTACCAGAAACATTGGGCCTTTCCCATGACACATTGGTCTCGATTCACCCTAAAATAAATACAAAGGTTCCACAGGCAGTGGGATTTTTTTGGCCCCCAGTAAAGTACATTTAGAACAAATGATACTGAAAATGCCCCTCGTTGTACCGAGCCCCCAACTCATGCCCTGGTGGCTGTTCACTTTTGCTTGTCTCTGAAGGTAGCATTTTTGCTGCAGGGATTCCCAACCCCCTTAATGCTGTTTTTTGTTGGTTTCTTCCAGCTGTCCAGATCCACATTTTGAAGGCTGATAAAGCTGGGGACTGGTGGAAATTCACTGTCAACATCATCTCCGTATACAAACAAGGCACCAGCCGGATCCGGAGGGGGGGACCAAAGCTTGTGGATCCGCTCAAGGGACGTGGCTTGTAAGTGCCCTAAAATCAAAGCCTTGAAGAAATACCTACTGCTTGGAAATGATGAGGACTCTCCCGATCAGAATGGCATCGTGGCTGATAAAACCAGCCTGGTGATCCAGTGGAGGGACACGTGGGCACGGCGGCTTCGGAAGTTCCAACAGCGGGAGAAGAAGGGGAAGTGTAAGAAGGCCTAGTGAGGAGCAGCCTGAGCTCCAGTGCCAAGAGGGCGTGAAAGAGAGAATGCATGCAAGAGAATGATTGAGCGATGGAGTGTGCGGCTGCTTTGTGTAGACCTTGGAGCAGACAGAATTGGAATGGGGATGGTGGTGGATTTCACTTTGTCATGGGGCTGGGGCTGGGGTAGGGCTGGGGCTGGGGAGAAGGTGAGGGGGTGGGAAAGACGGGGCTGGGAGCGCCCTCCTACTACTGGGACAGACGCCACTGAACGCAAAAGCAAGCGGCCATGGGAAGTTGGGGCCTAGCCGAAGACCTCAAATGGCAGCATCCCCTCCTAGCTAGCACCCCCTGTAGGTGAAGGGGAAGAAAGCCACATATATCCATAATTGTGGAAACCTGCAAAAGCTGCTGGTTCCAAAGCCCACACATACAGGAACAGGATGTATAGGCCTGCAGTCAAGCCCAGGGCTTCTGCAGCTGCTGCTGCTGCTGCTGCTACAGCCTTTCCACACCCCCTCCCTCAGTCCCAAAGGGCCTGATATTGGATGAGAATTCAGTCAAAGAGGACAGACCATGCAGGAGAGGTATGGGCAGGCGACCTTTCCTTAATGGGCCTCGGTTTTCACTTGGTAAAATGAGGATGCTATTTACCTACCTCATGGGGCTGTTTAGAGATCAAAAGTGCTTCCTTTCCAAGTACTAAGTATTATTATCAGAAAGAAGTCACTGAGTGTGTGCTGTTCATTTTGCAGACCTGGCCTAGGTAAGGAGCATGTAAAGGGTTCTGTCTGAATCTTTACAAGATTTGGGAAGAACACTTTCGTGTTACTTGAATTCAAATGTATCATTAAAATCTTGGTGTTGGCAATGAAGTGAACTGTGGTATGAACAGAATTAGGATAGCTGTGAATTCTCCAACTAACAATCTAGGTGATTTAACCAATGGTGGGCTGGGTTCCTTAAGAGTAACAATGCAGGGTATTAGCATGCCAGAGTCCTCCCTCTACCTACTCCATTTCCCCTGACATTGTTTCCAGATCCCTCTGCCTCTCTGTGGCAGGATTGTATTTGGTCCTCCCCTTTTTATCCATATCACCGTGGGCTGCCCCAGAATATGGCCCTTCCAAGATTGAGGAAGCAAGGTGGCCCTTATCTCTGTCCCTGATGACCTACTTTGTCCCACTTGTCCCTAAAGGGAATGGGAGGTTAAATCAATTGACATGCATTGATTAAGCACCTACTATAGAGTCAGGTAAAGTTGTGTGGGTCTTGGAGCAAGCAAGTGTCCCTATCAAAGAAGCTCAGCTCACAGCTCACTGTGCCAATGTTCAGGAAGGGTCTGGGCTATGCATGGTGCCCTGTTCCCAGGAGTCTTAGATGATCACTTCAGAGAGGCCCCGAGTTGGGTGGGCGGCCTATGCTGGTTCCATCTCAAAGAGAGGAGGCCTGGACCAGGAGGAGTCAAAGTCAAAACCTCCCAGATCGTTTCCTCTTTGGAAACTTGGAACCAGCCCCTTTTATAACATTTTCCAGGAGGGGAGGGGGCAGGGAGCATTGCTGCCTAGTTTTATAGCAGTGACATTATTTATGTAATGACATCAGTTCCCAGAATGCACTGCAACTGGAAAGTGCCTGGAGAGCAAGTGGAATGAAGGGTGGGGAGTCAGTGGGCCCCTGGCCCTGGGGAAGATGATTTGTTCTAAGCCAGAATGACTAGGGAGGCCTACAGAACCGACCCTAGAGGTGAAGGCTAGGTTTTACATGTCATTCTCTTCCCTCCTCCTTCCCTCACCATTGAAGCTGCTGGGAAGGCTTCACTGAAATAATGCCTACTTCCTCTAGCTCTGCCCTCAGGTTATATTTCCTTTTGGCATGTGCCAGAGCCTCATGGAGGCTACTAGCCTGGCCAAGAACCAAGAGATTAGGGCCAAGGAAGCCTGCTGTGCATCTCCTGTCTAACATATTTCAAAGCCCCTGGGCTCATAGCCCTATAGCTGCCCATGGACCCCTTCCAACCTAGGCTGGCCCCTGTGGAGCTGAGCACAGGGACACCCCCCCTGCCTCATGGGACTGGATACCACCTTCCCCTTGAAATCATTCATCTGCCTTTAGGGTGGTCCCATTTTTCTCTGAGAAACCTGTTCAACAAGGAGGACTGTCACTGAGTCACACTGTCCCAGCGAAACTTGAATTCTTCCTGTTTTGGAGAGTCTTCTACAGGGCCTTCCCCCCCCCCCCCCCCGTTCTCTCAGGCATCTCCAAATTTTACCATGAATTCCCTGCCACCAAAATGTGTGCTTGGCCACTCCTGGATCAGAAATGCTAGGCAGGGACCTGATGTAAGGCTGTCTTGTTACTCCCTTTCTTGTATTTCAGGACCAGTTCTCTCAAGGTCATTTCCCAACTCATAGAATCTCCGAGTTGTAAGGGATCTCAGTCTTCTTTATAGCATATCTGACTAGAGGTCATCCAGCCTTTGCTGGCCTCCCATTTCTGGATAGTGCTAATTGTTAGGAAGTTTTTCCTCTGTCAAACTGCATTTGTTTCTTTGCAACTTCCTCCTGTTTTTCCTAGTTCTGCTCTCTGGGATCACGCAGAACAACTATCTGATCCCTCTTCCACATGAGAGACTTGCAAATACTTGAAAACGGCTATTGTATTCCTTCCAAAACTTTTCTCTACACTAAACATCCCCATTTCTGTCAATTGATCTTGAGGTGACACGATCTCAAGTTTCTTCACCATCCTGGTTGCCCCTTCACTGGACACTCTCTAGTTCATGAATGGTCTAATTAAAGTGTGTCAGAACTGAATCCAGTAGTCCAGCTGTGGCCTGACCAAGGTAGACTAGAGGGGAGCTCTCCATTCCCAGGTCCTGGATACTGTGCCTCTCAGTGTAACCCAAGACTTTTCACATTGTGGACTCTTGCTGATTTTACAATTCATTAAAACTCCCTAAGTAATTTTTTTTTCAGATGAACTAGCCTTATACTTATGAAATTGATTTCTTGAGCCCAAATGTAGGATGTTACATTTTCCCCTTTTTCATCTCATTAAATGTAGCCCAGTGTTCTGTCCCATTGAGATTTTTTTTTTAGATCCTTATTTGTCCAATATTTGAGTTGCTTGGTATGCTTGGCATGCCTCAACCATGTCCCTTGCCCAGGAATAATACCAAGGAAGATGTTGGCACTTGGGGTCAATTGACTTGCCTTCTCTTTACCTATTTCTCATGGAGGAGACTGTGTTTCCATGACCACCCAGCCCCCCAAGTCTGACTCTCCTACAGTAAGCTCCCCTGGTAGTACAGTGAGTGACATTAGCCATTAGCTTGAATGGTTGTGTGTAGATTCAGTTTAATAGGGTCCCCATCCTGGGAGTCTTCCAAGAGGGTCTGAATTGGAAAGGGTAACAGGACAGATATTTCCTAACAATCATCACCACAGGGCTTAAGGATCAAGTGTATCTGATCCTATATCCCTGTTAAGAAGCTTCCTGAGGTCTGGAGCTCCATACCTTGGTCATCCAGGGAAGGATATTTCTTTCTACTATCCCTGCCCAAATTGACTGAGGCAGATCCTTGCCTCTGACCAGATGAGCCCTGGGACATATTTGCTCCCCAGCAGAGTTGGAAGGGCTGAGATGTGGGGGAAGAAGGGACGTGAAGGCATGCAGGAGGTATCGCTGGCTGGTCAGAGCTCAGGAATAAATGAAGGACCCCGCTAGTGAAGAAATGAACAAATGCGGTGGAGGACTGAAATTCCTTTATCCAAGAATGCCTTTGAATCAGTGAATAGGAGAATGTGTGCTAAGACACACGAGAAAATTGTTCTTAACTTCATTGGGCAGCTTCTAAGCTCCCTACAAACATTTTAGTTTTTCTCTTCAACATGAGAAACTTACCTGTGTGCTCTCCCCTGTCCTCTCCAAGTTCTTGCCCAATGGGTCTCGACTTTCTTTAAGGTCCTTTGTGTGGATGACTGTAGAAGCTGTGAGTTTGTTGAACTCCCCCATTGAAGACTAGCAGGTGACCTGAGGCTATAAGGCCAGAGTTCCAAACAAAGGCTGGACAGCTATGTTGTGGAGGAGATTCTGGCACGGCCTGGGAGGCAGGACTAGATGACCTTTAATCAGACTTCTTCTGATTGGAGGAGACAAGTTCACTCCTTAGGGCTTGCAGCAGACTGCAGGCTTTCTTATGCCAGGAGAGCAAAGATCACAGGCTGGAGGAGTTAGCCCATTCTCCCTGAAGACTCTGGAACTCAGTAGCTATTGCTTAAGCTCTGAGACCTACCAGAAGCGTGCAGGGGATACTGAGCTGTAAACAGGGATCAGGTAAGTTTCTGCTAGGAGTTTACTGCAGGAAGAAAAAATACAGTCTTGACAGTTCCCTTTAGGGAACCAGCCCAGATCCTCCCAAACTCCTGTTCCTCTGGTCCTTTGTTTTCTCAAACTGATACGGGGTTTTGTGAAGCTAGAACCAACTGTATGCATCTGAGCTGCCCCTTCTTTGGGTCACAGCCTCCTGAATACCCAGGAAGGCATGAAATTCTCAGGCCCCCATGCTTAGCTATTTCTGCCCAGAACCAGTGACCAGCATGCTGTTGTGGCTTTCACCAACTAGTTGTGGTTAAAGTCACTTAACCTCTTTGGGCCTCAGTTTCCTCATCTGTAAAATGAGGGGGCAGGATCCTTCCAATTCTGACATTCTGTAACCAATTCCACTCTCAAACCTCGACCAGCCCTGCTCAGCATCCTCATGACCTTCACCTGGCGTCTCCTGGGCCTGGTTATCCTATTCTCTTCCTGATAATAATTTGCCTTCCCTTTTTTCAGCTTCATGCCCAGGGAATATGGTTTGAGTACTCCAGAGACCCAGAGTCATCTTCCCTGTGGTTAGTTTGGTTCAGTCCTGTTGCTACCTATTTCTGCAGTTGTAGACATGCTGCCAGATTTGACAGGCTCAGCTAAGTTTTGCTGGCCACTGCTGCAGTCCTTCAATTTGATTTTCAGAGTGAATGTGTTCTCTTACCCCCACCTTTCCTGAATGTAAATGAATCAAACCACAAGATCCTTCTGGTTCCAGCCACCAGGACAGAGGAAAAACTAGGCAGTAATAGTGATGATCCCACCTGCCCTTGGGACAGCCTGTCATTCGGCTTCTGGGAAAGAGAAGGAAATAAAAATTGAGGTGCTCCTGTTTGTATACTTAGGATGATATGTAAAATTGAACTAGGTTTTGGAGAGTTTATTAACCAGAAATGTTATCATAGGTATTTAAAGAAAAAGTCTTGAGACTAGTCTTAAAAGAAAAATCCCCAGTTGTACTTTTTCTTACCCAGTGGGAGCTCAGTGGGTGGTCTGGACCCTTTGGCCAACTAATGAGCCCCCCTACATTAGTTAAAAGTAGTAACACTAGGAATTAGGAGGGGGTTGCTTTGGAAAGGGGGTGTCTGGCAAGGTGGACACCAGGGACTTTTCTCAGACTTGCTCCAATCTGGGTTAAAGAAAAAGCCCTTCTAAAATGCCCATCCACTTAACTACCAGATGTTTGGTGGAAGATGAAGACACTACCTGGGAAAAAGGCAGAGCATCATTTTCCCTACTGAGCAGAGGGCACTGAGAGGCACTTCAGTTTCCCTGGTACTAGGCTAAGAAAGCTTTCAGAACTGGTTGTAATGGGATGGAGGGGGTAGGGTTTGTCAAAGTCAGAATAAAGAGAAGATGACTGGGAGCCAGCCCATAATGCCCTGTGTTGTCATCAGGTTCAGTTTCAACCTGTGTAAAACAGGGTCAAGACTTTTCCCCAGATGTGGCACATCAGTTAGAATGGCTAATGACAGCCCAGAAGAGACTTTGACTTCATGGCTGAAACAAGTGTTAGAAAATCGTGTCTCTGAAACGCTGCAGAACATGGTGAGGCATGGAAGTTGTGTAAGTAAAATGAAGGCCTTTAGTTCCTCAATGAGGAGGCCAAACACGCAGGAATATATTCAGAGGGCTAAAGTACCTACACATTCCTGCAAGCAACAGATGTGCACAAACCACAGGAGAATTTCAATGTTAGTGGGGTTCCTCTGTGCCCTTCCCCCCCAAAAAAAACCCAGCTCGTTTTGTGATTGAAGTTCTCCCCTGCCCCATGATCCTGGATGTGCTACTTACCCTATCTTCCTTCCACGTGGATCCCTTTCTATGTCTGATTTCTGTTTGGAATTGTAAATGTATAGCTGTGACCATGGCATACTGTTTGGGTCAATGTTCCTTTCCAATGCATACTAATATATTATGGTTATTATATATGAATATATTTAATGACATGGGAAAAGTTGTGGATTTTCTTATTTTTTTTAAGTTTTGATTTTTGTTGTTGTTGTTGTTGTTAGAGCTGCAATGGAACCAGATGGAGCTTGTAATGTGGGCCCCGACTTGGTAGAACTAAATTCGAGAGCAGTTGAATAAACTCTTGTACACTGCCCTGTCCTTGGATCTTTATTGGTAGCCTGATTCAAGCTCACTTGTCTGGGTATGGGCATGGGGAAGGGAGAGTGTTGGGAAGGGGAGATGTGACAAGCTACTGGGCACTTAGGGGACACTGGCTTCTTACTCCAAAGCGGTATACTGACACTGTTTTTTCCACAAGACCCACAAAGCAGAGGCTTGCTTTTTCCACACATGGGATCAGGATAATAACTTCTTTGCTCATCTCTGCTCTAGTCTGGGGCAGTTTGGTTTCAGCCTGAGACATGGCCATACTGCTGCAGGCTAGAGATTGGGTAGGTAGTAGGGGTTGGAACAGTTCACATTTCAGTTCTCTTTTCAAACAGTGTTGAATGCAACCTAATCCCCTTTTTAAAACACACACACACACACACACACACACACACACACACATGAAGCTGGTGTTCAGAAGGTGCAGGACAAAGAGAGCAGCACTCTATGCAACAGAAGATGGGAGAAGAACCTTTCATTTCCCCATGAGACTTTGGAAATGTGTTTACCTTTGAACTAATAAATGAATCTTTTTCAAAGTCAATTCAAAATTCACAAGAAATGACCAAAAACCTTTTAAAATATGCTTTTTAAGAAGCTTGCTCAGAGGAGCAAGTACTGGTAAGGAAACAAATGCACCAGGAGCTGAGCTCACTGTATTTCTGCACAAGAGGCTGTATTTAAACCCCACATGGTTGTGATTTATTGATTAAATAAACAATTCAATCATTAAGAACACATTGTGCTGCCATGCAAAGCTAGGGCTAATCCTTACTAGGAAGCTGTAATTTCTGTATCCAGCTGTTCTAACACAAGTCTCAGCAAATGGGCATGACCTTGGAGCCTCCTGCAATTCAGATTCAGTTGACCCTTCCAAAGACCTAGAGAGCCATAAGTCCATAGCACAGGTCAGCCATGCCATGAACAGGCACCCTTCTCTGCTGGTAAAAGGTGAAACAAGTCAGGGAACTCATTCCTCATTTTCTGCCAGTGTAAGACTGAAGAGCATCAGGCCATATTCCTTGGAGAGGTATACAGCTGGTTTCAAAGTATCCTAAACCAGAGGTGTCAAACATGAGACCCAAGTGCGGCAACTCCCAAGTGTGCCTGGACCAGATTAAAATGTAAATAGGAAATATTTAATAAAAATACAATAGAATATAGATAAAATTACATTTTAAAACTAAGTCAATATGTGGCTTATAAGGATCTCTATGCACAGTTTAGCAGTCCCCATTTCTACCTGAGTTTGATATCACCGTCCTAAATCTTTCTGTTAAAGTCATTACAAACTACAAATCTTCCATCAAGCAAGCAGGCTATCTGAAAGCCAAACCTGCAAGTTTGTTCAATAAACTAAAGGTAAAGTCAGTTCCCCAAAATTTCAGGTTTCCAAGGCTGTATTTCTTATTTTGGCTATATGTAGTTTTTAAATCTTTTAAGAGGTTTGCAATTGCTTGATACTGATCAAAACTTGATAGCTTGACTCTAACCTCTAATCTAAATTATTTGAGATCATGACTAGTACTCAAGGAACGGATTGCTTATATTCATCTTTTTTTCTATGAAAGCAGATTTCTCCTTGGGAAACACAACAGTCAGTCCTGGTGCCAGCCACCTTAGGAAATTATACAAGCACTTAATGAAAAAAATAATAGTACTGCCTGAATGCTAGAGGGGTCCACCAAAGATCAGCTGTGGTCTCCAAGGGCTCATGGTACACAGCAAACAGCACTCATCTAAATCTGGCTTGGAAACCCAGGCCCTCTAAAGTTTATAATCCACTCTTGCTGATGGGAGTGTGGTTCTACCTCAGGGAAAACCAATCATATGAGCAAAGAGAAATGCCTTCTTAAAATGATACAAGTATTTATCTTGCACTTGCCTCCCTCATTCTCCCTGTAACAGAGGCTTGGAGGCATCTTTAACATTTTACTCACAGGGCAGCCAAGTCTTGTCAACTTAATAGACCTTAGGAATCTATTTATCTCTGACCTCTCCTCTACTGCAATCATCCTGGCCAAGGACCTGTAATAGTTGCTTTCCAACCCAACATCCATAACACTTTAATCTTCCTATTCTGATCATGGCATTTCTTTACTAAAAACAAAACAAAGAGCTTCAGTGGCCCCCCCTTGTCTACTGAATAAAGTTGCCTGGTCTTGACATACAAGGTTCTCCATAGTCAGGCTCTAACCTATGCCTTTTCATGTAACTTCTAGCAAAACTGGACTATTCTGTTTCAGTCATTTCTCAGGCTTTCCCCGGGCTCAGAAAGGACTTGCTCCCTCCCAACTACCCACTTCCATCTGTCCACATCATATAAGGATCAGTTTTTCAAACTTAGGATTGCTCAGCCAAAGGAAGCCTCAGGAAGGACATGGCAGCTGTCTTCAAGCGTATGAAAGATTTTCATGTGGAAAGGGAATGAAACTTACTGTGTCTGAATCCAGAAGGCAAAATTGGGCCCCTTGGGTAGTAGAGCCAAATTTAGGCTTGGTGTAAGGAACAATTTACAAGCTCTAACAATTAGAGATATCCAAAAGTGGAATGGACTCGTGGGGTTCCTCTCATGGAGTTCTTCAAACTGAAGCTGGACCTGTTGGTTATGTTCTAGTGGGGAATTCCTTTGACGTATAGGTTGGACTAGGAAGCCACTAAGGTTCCTTCCAATTATGAAAGTATAAATCCTTTCTTCCTTCAAGACCAAGGTACCACCTTTTCTGTGAAGTTTGCACTTCCTCAAGTAAAATAGGGCTCTCTCTACTCAAAATTCTCACATCTGGTTGTCTTTACATTTATCACATTCTCCTTTATACTATAGTTATTTATATCTTTTTCCCCCTATGGTGTTGTTAGCTTGAAAGGAAGATCTATGTTTTATGTTCATATGTCCAGTAGCTAGCACAGTCCCTTGCCAGATATGTCAAGAATCCACGTGATTTCATTAGTGTAGTCCTCCACTAGTGCAGATAGCAACTCGTTCGCCCTGCTTCACGAAACCTCAGTGTGTAATTTTCCTTAGTTCCTGTGACTGAAAAAATACACCATCTTATAGCCAACTTTCTAATAATGAAACTTCCTGCACTTAGCTAGCTTAACCTCTGAAAACAGACATAATAGTAGGTTCTTAATAAATGATGAATTAATTGGTTCTATTAATAAACTTGCTATAACAAAACCAATTCAAATACTGAGAGATATAAAGTTGTGTAAGATAAATTTATCCTTCTTATACATCTTTGTATACCCCTCAATGATCTCATAGTCTGGTTGGTGAGATAATCAATAACTGGTCAATCAGTAAGCATTTATGACAGGCCCTGTATCAGGTGCTGGCGATACAAATACATGAACAAAACAGTCCTGGCCCTCAAGGACCTTACATTCTATTGCAGAGAGAGAACATATTGTAAATAAGTGTGTGTGTATATATATATATGTATATATATATATATATATATATATATATATATATATATATATATACATACATATATATAATATAGGTAAAAGGCAATCAATAGGGGAAGGCAGCAGCTGCTGGAGGAATCAGAGGAAAGCCTCATGTAGAAGAAAGTGGAGCTTGAGCTTAACTTTGAAGGAAAGCAGGCATTCTAAAAGGAAGAGGAGAGAAGAGGGAGCATTCTATATATGGGGGACAGCCTGTGAAAAGGGAGATGGAAGACGGAACGTTGATTAGAGATACATACATACATATGTATTCCTTTTTTTGAACTTTTTAATTTATTTTGATAAATTTATTTTGATTTATCAACAATCACTTCCATAAGCTTCTGAGTTTTAAATTTTTCTCCCCCTCCCTCCACAAGACGGCACACAATCTGATATAGGCTATACATATACATTCCTATTAATCATATTTTCACATTAGTGATGTTGTAAGTAAGAATTAGAACCAATAGGAGGAACCACCAGAAAGAGGAAACAAAACACAACAGAAGAAAAAAAAAAGAAATAATATGCTTTGATCTGCATTCAAACTCCATAGTTCTTTCTTTGGATGTGGATAGCATTTTCCATTGAGGCATTTGGAGATGTCTTAGATCCTTGCATTGCTGAGAAGGGTTAAGTCTGTCAATATTAGTCATTGCACAATGTGGCTGCTACTGTGTATGGCCTATTCCTTTTTAAAGAGTGAATATGTTTGAAACTTCAGCAAAGCCAATTATAAAACAGTATTTGATGAATAAAGGCACTTTACTCTTTTCATCTTTTGAAAGTTGTATTGATGCCTTTTGTTTTTTACACCAGAATAATTTTCCAATAAACACCCTACCCTCTGCCCACCCTTCCTTGTAATAAAGAAAAATTATTAATAAAACTAACCAACAGAAACCAGTCTGTCAATATATGATATTCAAAATAAGTTGGGCCCAAATGAGAGGAGGGAGACGGGTTTCATTATCTAGGACCAATACTTGTCATTGCATTGCATCCTTAGTTGCCGTTTAGTATTGCTTTCATTTATATTAATATGATCACTGCTTACGTTATTTTGCAAGTTTTGTGTTCTTAGCTCTGTATCAATAACCATGTTTTTTCTGGCTTCATCGCATTTGCCTTTTTTTTTTAAGCACAATAATATGCCATAACATTGATGGACCATCGTTAACTTAGTCATTCTCCAATTGATAAGACACTTACTTTGTTTACTCTTTGTTTTGTTTTTGTCTTTTTTTTTTGAGGCAATTAGGGTTAAGTGACTTGCCTGGAGTCACACAGCTAGGAAGTACTATGTGTCTGAGGCCAAATTTGAACTCAGGTCCTCCTGATTCCAGGGCTGGTGCTCTACCCACTTTTGTCTTCTTATGTTTGTTTTTTTGCTACCATATTTCCATAGAACCTTCCTACGTATTTTGGCAAATGTGAGACGTTTCTATCTCTCAGCTCCTTGGAATACATGCCCAGTTCCAGCTTAATATATATAAGCAGTTTAATAACGCTTCTTGCATAACTCTCAGTTGGTT